GTCCAAACGGCGGTACTACAACTTCAGTCCGTGACGTCACCTGGCCCAGAAAGACTTTATCCCATTGACTAACATGTTAAACTAAATAAACTACCAGCACGAACACGTGTATAGCCCTTATTAGATTCATTCGGTCCTTAAAGTTGTAAAATGCACAAAAAGCCGAATCCAGATTTATTTGTCTCTCTCCATTTGTTGGACTGAGCCGAGAAAGGGAGATCGGAGGTCGGGCTTAATGACAGGAGGCGGGGCTTAATGGAAACTGCGCATGCTCTATAAACTACATACAGGTACTTCTGCTCTGAAAGCAAGGCATGATGGGTAATCTGTGACGTTTTGCTCTCGAAAACGTCAGGCCATTTTGTCTTCGCCAATTAGCGGCTCTCATAGGAAAGAAAGACTCCATCTCCAACGCTGTATCCAGTTCTTATTAAACATCTTCATCCCAACGCACCAGCACCGCGTCCGCGTGTCCAAACCGCCTCAGCGCGCCGAGAAAAATACCCTCTTGTGAGAGATGTCCCCCCCTCTCAGCTGCACAGCATCAAACTGCACAGAGAGAGAGAGAGAGAGAGAGAGAGAGAGAGAGAGAGAGAGAGACAGAGAGAGAGAGAGAGAGAGAGAGAGAGAGAGAGAGAGAGAGAGAGAGAGAGAGGAGAGAGAGAGAGAGAGAGAGAGAGAGAGACTATTCAAACAGTCTATGACGTCTATGATATGATGTTGTTAAGGTAACCCTTTTTATCTAAAATAGTAAAAAGTCTAATAATGGAATTTCCTGGAATAATAGATAATTACCGTTTCATATCAACAGCATGTCCAGAAACTCCAAATCATAATGTAAGAAAGTTACAGGTAACCTTTTTTATCTAAAGGCAATAACAACAAGTATAATAATGGACTCAGAATAATACATGTTCCCCCTCTCAGCTGCACAGCATCAAACTGCACACACACACATACACAGAGAGAGAGAGAGAGAGAGAGAGAGAGAGAGAGAGAGAGAGAGAGAGAGAGACAAACAGTCTGTAATATAAGGTAACTTTTTATCTAAATGCAATAATAAAAAGACGAATACTGAGCTGATTTATGTTTGATACTGTCTATTCTCTAGATGATCATTTACACATTTAAGATCAATAAAGCTAAATATATGTATCAGTTTTTACTATGTGCCCAAAGTTTAATAAGTGAGGCACATTGTGTTAGAAAGCTAAAGGAGAGTGCTGCCCTCTGCTGGACACACACCGACAACACACCACCACAAATACTGGAAACTCTTCATTAAAAAAAGGAAACATGTATAAGTACACAACAATCGTTTGTATGTCAAAAAATCTGCAAACACGACAAACTGTTTTACGTTTAATTAATTTAATTTAATTTGTATATATAGTTATGTGTGAGAGTTGTGTGTACGAGTGTCGTCGCTTCCTGTGTGCTGTGTGCCTTTGTGAGTGGTGTGAGTGGATGAGTAGGTGTCCTGTGTGTTGTGTGTGTGTGTGCTGTGGGGTGTGCTGTGGTGGGGTGGTGTGTCGTGGCGTGTTGTGTGCTGTGTGGTGTGTGTGGTGTGTGTGTGGCTGTGTGTGCTGTGTGGTGTTGTGGTGTGTGTGTGTGGTGTGTGTGTGTGTGGTTGTGTGTGTGGTGAGTTGTGAGTGTCTCTTGTGTCTGTGTGTCTGGTCCTCTAAGGTGTGCGTGCGTCCTCTAGTGTTGAGTTTGTCTGTGTGTGTGTTGTTCTGGTTGTGTGTGTGTCGTGTCTCTGCGCCCTCTGGTACGTGTCGTCTCTCGTGGTGTGAGGTGTGTCTGGTGTCTCCTAAGCTGTCTCCTGTACGTAAGTGGGCGAAGTCTCTGTGTGTCTGTGTGTGTGTGGGCGTTACGGAGGATGATCGCACGTAGACTCGATCGTGCTGTGGATGCGATCGATGCGTCTCTGTGTGTGAGGTGTCTGTGTGTCCTGTGTGTCCTTGTGTCGTGTGTGTACTTGTGTGTGTCCTCTGTGTGTGAGTGTCGTCTGTGTGTCTGGTGTGTATGTGTGTCGTGTGTCTCGTTGTGGTGTGTGCTGTGTGGTGTCGTGTGTGTCTCTCTGTGTGTGAGTGTGTCTGTGTGTCTCTCACTGTGTGTGAGTGTGTCCTGTGTGTGGTGTGTGAGTGTGTCTGTGTGTCTGTGGTGTGTGTGTCTGTGTGTGTAGTGTGTGTCTCTCTGTGTGTGAGTGGTGTCTGTGTGTATCTCTGTGTGTGAGGTGTGTCTGTGTGTGTGTGTCGAAGGTGTCGTCGAGGTGTGTGAGGGTGTGAGTGTGTCTGTTGTGTGTGCTGTGGTGTGTGTGTGTGTGGTGTGTGGTGTGTGTGGTGGTGGGGCTGTGTGTAGTGTGTGAGGTGTGATGTGTCTCTGTGTGGTCTGTGTGTCTCTCTGTGTCTCTTCTGTGTGTAGTGGTCGCTGTGGTGTGTCTCTGTGGGTGTGTCTCTGTGTGTGAGTGTGTCTGGTGTGTCCTCCCTGTGTCTCTCTGTGGTGTGAGTGTCGGGGGGGGACCTCTTATGTGTGTGTTGTGTGTGTGTGTGTGTGTTGTGTGTGTATGTATGTGTGGGTGTGTGTGTGTATGGTGTCGTGTGTGTCGTGGTGTGGTGTGTGTGTGTGAGTGGGCGTGTGTCTGGTGTGTCTCTCTGTGTATGTCTGTGAGTGTCTCCGTGTGTCTCTCTGTCGTTGGAGTGTGTCATGTGGTCTCTCATGTGCTAGTGAGTTAGGCTCTGTGCGTATGGCAAACGAGGCTGAAACCGACGAGTGAAGTGTGAGTCAGTGTGTGGATGTGTGTGTGCGTGTACAAGGCCAGTGACGTCAGTGAGTGAGTGTCTCTGTGTGTCAGGTGTCTCGGAACACACAAAAGCACACAAACACTAGTATAAGCGACACAACACACACAAGTGTAACGGCTCTGTCGCGACGTCTCACTTGATCGACGACTAGTAGATGGTGTGTGTGCGTGTGGTGTGTGTGAGTGTGCGAGGTTGGTGCGGTGTCGTCGTCACGTGACGCTGTAGACGTGCATGATCTGCAGAGTGCGCTTCTAAAAAATTAAGTGAATAAAAAAGATAGAAAACACTAGTGGCCATAGAGAAGCAAATAAATTACAGTAGTGTGTCTGGAATAATCATAAGATTTAGTTAATAAAATGATGAAAAAAAATTGGTCAGTGTGACACAAACTGCCTCATTAAGTGACCTATAAAATCGATAACACAATGGTGTGATGTAACATGTATTGTCCTGTACTGTGAGTGTGTCCAGGTGGTCTCGGTGTGGTCGTGTGTGTGGTGGGTGTGTGCAGGTGTCGTGCTCTCTGTGTCGTGAGTGTGTCTGTGTGCCTGCTGTGGTGTGTGTGTGTGGGTGTCTGAGGTGTGTGTGGTGTGGTGTCTCGGTGTGGTGTGTGTGTCTTGAGTGTCTGAGTGTGATGTCTGGTGTGGAGTCGTGATGTTCGCAGATGTTATTATGTCTTTTGATGAAAGACAATCTCTCTGTCAGGCAGGTCGTCTGACATCAGAAAATTACTGATCATTCGGTCAGGAGAATATGCGTTTATTATGAACAAGTCAAAGAACATGAACTCATTTTCTCTTCATGAGTCTAGGACATTACACTCATTTTTCATTCTTCATGAGTCTAGAAAGAACTCATTTTTTCATCTTCATGAGCTACGAACCCATAACTCATTTTCATCTTTTCATGAGTCTAGAACATGAACTCATTTTCATCTTCATGAGTCTGAACATGAGCTATTTTCTCTTCATGAGTCAGAACCATTGTTCACCTCATGAGTCAGAACATGAACTCATTTCATTCTTCATGAGTTAGGAACTATATGAGTCAGAACCTCATTTTTCATCTTCATGAGTCCAGACATGAACTCATTTCTTCATGAGCAGACTGAACTCATCTTCACTCATGAGTCTAGACACGGTGAACTCATTTTCATTTCATGAGTCAGCAACATGACTCAATTTCATACTATGAGTCAGACACAAGGACTCATTTTCATCTTCATGAGTCTAGAAACTGAACTCATATTTCATTATGAGTCTAGAACATGAACTCATTTCACTGCAGAGTCTAGAACATGAACTCATTTTCATCTTCATGAGTCTAGAAACATGACTCATGTTCATCTCATGGTCTCACATCCTTATGATACTTATGAACCTAACTTACATGAATCAATGAACGG